ATATATTTTATCCATGATAATTCTATGATTTTTCTTTTATGTGATGCAAATTTAATACTTAAGTTTATAAAAGAGCATCTCAATATTCACAAATTGATGAAAAAAATGAAAGTTAATAATGTAGTACCCTCATTTTTTATTGGATTCCTAAAAAACAACATTTATAATAAATTTTAATAATTTTTTCGGATTTTTTTGAAGCTTTAATCCGACCGATTCAACCGATTCCTGATCCGAATCGTCGATTCGTCTATCCGGATCGGTTTTTGAAGTGCCCGATCCGGGTCAACGATCTGTTTTTTAAACCATTGATTGAAAGTATATTTCTTGATACTATATGAAGTGGCTTTTTACTTTGATTGTTTAGACCCTCGCCACCATACAAACCATACCCTTCGAAGAATACTTGTGGAACCTTATAGTGCTTACGTCATTTTGAAAATGGCATCGTCCATCGTAAGCCACAGTACAATTTCATTAATTTTCTCACCGACTTGCGTTTTTTCTTGTCGTCAAGCAAAACATTGACGATTTCTACTTTATAATATAACCAAATAACCTCATCTTGAAAGGCACCAACCATGTAATGTTCTTCCCAATGTGTGCAGCTAATACGCACGATTTGGCGAAAATAGGGCTCAACTATGGAATGCAGGGAGACAACCTCCCCCCACCCCCTCAAGTGGTGGCCCTCTACAAGAACCTCAGCATCCCTAGGGTGCGCCTTTTCGACCCCAATGCCGGCGCCCTCGAGGCCCTGCGTGGCTCTGGTATCGCTGTCCACCTCGGTGTCACCAACAACGATGTCATCGCCATCGCCACGAGCCATTTTATTGCGGATCAGTGGGTCGCGGCCCATGTAAAGCCGTATGTGCCCGACGTTAACATCACCTATGTCTCTGCAGGCAACGAGTTAGTCAATGATGTAAATGCTGCACAGGTTATTACCCGGATGGCTATGGGGCCCGTGTTTGAACTTGAACCCGTCTTCATTTTCTAGATATTTTTGCGTTGCATTTTTTACCAGGTCCTATGTGGTAAAGTAATGAGTTGTTTGGGCGTTTGAACCAATCCTTATTTTAAGCAGGAAGAGTTACTCATATGCATAGGGGAAGGAAAGACCCTCAATTTCAGAGTGTTCTACCATAGAAGGTGGTCGTCAAATAAGACATCATTATCATCTCAAAACTTTTTTCCAATTAATTAGAGTCGGCTACATGAATTTTGGTTCACTATTCTCTTTTATTAAGGATCACGCTCTAAGTGAGGCCATAAGTCACTATATATTTTATCATTACTTCCAATCATGTCTTTTTGAACCCATCTCTTGTGCTTTTTTAGCCTTCCACTTGACTTAACGTGTATCTCTTAATAGGTGTTGTATTGGGTATGCGTTATTCATGATCAACCCACCCAAGTCTACTTTCTCTCATCTTATTGCCTATTGGTGCCACACCTAAATTTTTTCTAATGTAATTAGTTCAAACTCTATCACTTCTTGTCTTGCCACTTATCTATCTCAACATCCTCATTTGTTATATACTTATGTTATGGGTACATTATTTTTTGACCACCCAATGTTCCACCCCATAGATCAAAGTTGGTCTCACAATTGTCTTATAGGACTTACCTTTCAACTTCATTGGTATGCGACGATCACATAAAATTCTGCTATATATATAAAATAATAGTTTAGCAATACAAATGAAATTTGAAATGTACTAAGCCAAATTCTAGTGAAGAATCTCCACATTTGCAGTGTTCAGTTGTAAGTCATACTACTCTTTTCTCATGCAATGAAGTAAATACTTATTTTTCCCTCGTTCTGTTTTGGGATTTTCATAGGTTAACTCGGCGATCCTGGCACTCCAGAATGCCCTTAACACGGCTGGTTTCAGAAGCATCAAGGTCACTACAACTGTGTCCACGAGCGTGCTTTCAGTTTCATACCCACCTTCACAAGGTGCCTTCACTAATGGTGTGGCCACCGCAATGACCTCAATTGCGACTTTTCTAGCACAAAACCAAATCCCCCTCTTTATTAATGTGTACCCCTATTTTGCCTATTCTAGCAACCCTGCCAATGTGTCCCTCGAGTATGCCCTCTTCATATCCCCGGGTCCGGTGGTTCACGATGGCACCCTGAGCTATCAAAATCTCTTTGATGCAATGGTGGACTCAATATACTCCGCATTGGAGAAGGTGGGGGGATCGTCTATCGAGCTTGGCATCGGTGAGACCGGGTGGCCATCCGATGGCAATCCTGGGGTGGCAACCATTGACAACGCAAAAGCTTATACCAATAATTTGGTAAGCCACATTGCTTTGGCTAAGGGCACACCTAAGAGACCAGGTAAGCTCATAGAGACATATATTTTTGCCACTTTCAATGAAGACTTGAAGGCCGAGGGCATCGAGCAGAACTTTGGGCTCTTCTTTCCTAACCAGGCCCAAGTGTACCCTGTCAACTTCTTCCCCACAGTCTGAAAATGGCCATTCCTGATTCTTGTTCTTTGGAATAATGGCACTTGGATATGTACATAGTAATGGGTTCCCTCATTTTCATTTTTATATTATTTGGGGCGCATTTGTTTATCCAGCTTGAAATCATGTATTTTGACAGCTTTTAAGTACAGAACTGAGGATATGTGCATGAATCCCTTCTAAGCACCCTCTTGGAGCAGGGAAGCTAGAAGACAGAGTAGTTTTGGTTCAATTACAAAGAGATTTTAGCACCATTTTGATTTCAAAGTTTTCAAGCACATTTTTTTTTTTCTACTTGTAATTGAATAAACAGCAATTGGCTTAACTATTGTAAAGGAAAAAAATTCAAGATTTAGGTGAAAAAATAAGGGAAAGAAAAAATGATGTAAACCTAGAAGAACAAAACTGAAAGATTTTACATGGTTCAACAATTGCCTACATTTATAGGCAGTAAACTTTCTCTTCCACTAATCCAAGAAACAGCATGCAGCCTCGAGCCCTCTCTTATAGATCCTAAAACAAGGTTTTCCTCTCTTTAGAATGCCCACACAAGAGGCCACAAGAAAACTCATCCTTTTTCTCTCTTTACACATTCGTAATCTCTCTCTCTTAGGGAAATCTAAGATGCCAGGACATGATGCCTATCCGTATGAACTCCGTTTCCTAGCTTTTAATATAAATATAGGAAAAATATCCTATTATCTTCTATTTTTTACTTCTATATCTCATCAGATCCAAGAATTGAAAATATTACTTGTAAGCAAAATGACTCTATCTTTTCTATCTTTCAACCCCTTAAACCCTTTTGACCAAGTATTATTGACCTCAACAACTTATGGAATGACTCTATCTCTCTCTCACACATCATCATCTCTCTCTCTCTCCTTAAAACACAAAGTCCATCTCTCTCTCTAAAACTCCATCTCTCTAAAACCCAAACTCCATCTCTCTCTCACACAAAAAAAGGTGTGCTCGTGTTTGAGCTCAAACTAAACCCTCTCTAAAACCCAAACTCCATCTCTCTCTCACACAAAAGAAGGTGTGCTCGTGTTTGAGCTCAAACTAAACCCCTTGGCTGTTAAACTTATCGAGAAGTGAAGAGAGAGGGATGGAGTTTTAGAGAGAGAGAGACATAGAGTTTGAATAGGATATCATTTTAGTGTTTGTTTCGATAAAAAATTTATGGTCAAAGGGATCCAGAGGATTGTAAGATAGAAAAGATAAAGACCTTTAGTTGACAAGTAATATTTTCAATTTTTGGATCTCATGAGATATGGAAGTTAAAAATAGAGAATAAAAAGATATTTTCCCTTTAATGGGATATATGTGGTGTATAGGATGATATCCACCACTAAAGGCTTCCTAAACCTATAAGGATATGCCGCATGGCATATTTAGGAACTCCTATAGGATTCAACAAAAGAGTTGTACTATCTTCCTTGACAAATGAATTCAATGTAACATTATTTCACTTGAAGAAATGTTTTCATTTAGGCTAATTTGTTTCAAGAAATTTTGCCCAATAAATATTAATCATCAAATGAACTTGTCCAAAGAAATTCTTTCACCAAGTGAACCTTCCCTTCCTAATATACTTGTTTTGACATTTGTCTGATTGTAATCAATATTAGTTTTTTGCTATAAAATATATCTATCTTATATCACATCATACACAAACAAAGTGATATTGAACTTCAACATGCTTAGTTAAATCATGA